AAGCCTCAGCTTTGGCTCCCAAATCAGGGACTACCCTGGGTGGGTTCTAGGCATTGGAACCCTGCTGATAGTGCCAAGGTGCTGGGCCATTCCGACATCTTGGCCTCCTAGTGTCACCAACGCATCTCCAAAGTTCCAAGGCAGATCAGAAAATAGCTGATGGCTCTGGCTGAACTTGAGATTACCCAGTAATAACCCAGGGCTATGGGTAGTCTCCCTATTGCCCTAAGCAAAGGGTTTTTTCAGCTTTGTCAAGCCATCTTCGTCCCTAAACTAGGAATTCACAGAACCAAATGACTTACCTGGAGGAAGTTTTCCTCCATAAAAGAAAAAGAAAAGAAAAGAAAACAAAACAAAACAAAAACCCCACCTCCTTCTTGTTTCCTTCGAGTGTAGCCATTCACCTCGGGAGTCCACACAGTGGAAAGCATTTCCGGGGTCCCTTGGGTCAGCTGGGTCAGCCATCTCAGGGTGCACCCTGGGAAGCTCACCTCTCCCACATCCCAGCGTAAAGAGCAAATTTGGGGAGGAGCTATTTCCCTGGAGCCTCCATATGTTAACCTTGTGACTCACCAGAAAAACCAACTCCACCATTTTGAAAATAACGTAAAGCAAACATTTATTAATATTAAATACTGACCAAGAGGTGGACTTCTGTAAGGACCATCCCTGGGGACTGGCGGGTGGGATTACAGGTCAATTTTGGTCACTGCACTTACATGAGAGCAAAGGAATCTTTGCTTAAATTTTCTTGGAAGTTTCAGAGGACATTCCTGTAGCGAGGAAATGGAGGGCTAAAGGGAACAGAATATTCCAGAAGCTCAGCACTAGTGGCCTTGTAAGCTTTAATTTGCTTTCCTCTGATGGCTGATGGTATTGCATATCTACCCAGTATTTGGGTATCCCCCTTGTAAAATATCTGACCCCCTTCTTTTGGCCTCCTATTGCAATTGTAAGAGGAACAAAATATCCATCTGGCATTTGAACCCTATCTATGGCTTTTTAGAAGTGTAAGAACATTTCCATCTGGCACCACTGAGCTGTGAAATTCCTATAGGATTTGCTGGTTTTCCAAGTACATGCTGGTTATCAAGCATATGTCTCTGACAGAAAGGCTCTCTGGGATGACAGCTCTGATCTTAGACAGTATTTTGTCTTTTGCTGTTTACCATACACATTTTATAGACGACCAGGCTTATATTTTACTGTGATGAGAAAGTTGTAATCAATCGAGATAAAAGTTAGACTACACACAAAACTATGCTCTAAACACATCAAATACTTGGTTTGAGAAGTCCTAAAAGATCCCACTGACAGATACAGTCGATACAGCGCTTGACTGGAGAAGTCCTTTTATTATGAGCTTGACACAAAACAAAGATAAATTTTATGAAAATATGACACTCGGCTTGGGTAGCGAGGGCTCTAAAACTTAAAGAAAAATTCAAAATTGGGGATGATGTGTATGGGGTAGGTGTCAAATGTACCATCTTGAAACATGAACAGTGTCTCCCGATCACTGCAAAGATTATACCCTGTACATCAGTACCACAGCCTCGTAGCCAGTGAATATGTACGATTTTTAACTTACCGAATAAGTTTCATTTAATTAATAATGAAGCAAAATTTTAAAAGGTAAACAAAATAACCAAAGGGGCAAGCACCCCACTCCCTAAAAAGCTGATATCAGGTGCAAAGGCAACCCCAGTTCCCAAAAGGCAGTGGATAGCCCCACAATGACAGTGTTGGCTCGACTCAAGTCGGACAACAGAGAAAGCAGCATTCCTCAAGAGTCTGTGAAATGGGTTTCTGCCCGCCAGACAGGGCCATTTCCCTTACATACCAAAGCCCATGCCAGGCTCCAGACACCTCCAGGCCCTGCTCACACCTGCTACGCATTTCAGAGTCCACACTAGCAGGCTGGTCCTCCTTTCCTCCTCCACCCTAAAGTCCCAGGCTGCCACTGTCCACAGGCTTCCCTCCCCTTGGCTACTTGTCCTCCTCAGAGTACACGTGATCTTCCCACTTCCCACTTCTCTAGCCTCGGCCATCTTCAGGCCGCTTTTTTTCTCTCTTCTCTGGAATTGTCCAGATGCAGCTGGCGGTTCTCTTTCCCTTATCTACAATAAAAGCCAGCTTCTCCCTAGCCGTGCACTGGCTGGCTTCTCCCTAGCCATGCAGTGGTCAGTTTGGCGGATTCTTTACTGCATCTTTGCTTACACCAGAGCACACAGTTTGCATAAAGGAAATAAAATTTTTAATTAACATTTACCTATCTTTTATCTATCTACCTACCTCATATCCACCCATCCATCTATGTATAGATAACTAACCACTGTTATAAAGGAATTCAAATTAGAGAGTAACATGATGTCGGGTTTAATTGTTAAGGACAAAAGACACATTTATAACACCTGGAGACATCAAAGATGTATATAAACAAGCATTCTTTACACTGCCAATCAAGATGAAAAAGTGATGCATATGTTTTATTTTTGGCAAAAGGAAAGACAAAATACTTACCAAAGTTTAAATCTGTCTTTGTATGTCCTTTAGCACATGTATGTCCTTATGCAAATGCACCCACACTTATTCCTTGTAGGACTTTAACCACTGGAGGTAATAGGATATGCATGGAAACACAGAGAAATACTAATCTCAGAATTGTTAACAATTACAAAGCAAAAAATATAAACGTGTTGGAGAAGTAGATCACAGTTAGTATGTAAAGTGAAATATTTTACAGATTTTGAAATGGATAAGAAGGGCTTGTAGATTGATTTAGAGAGCTGCATTACGTGAAAGAGGAAAGTTGGTTGCAAAGCAATGTGGCATTTTGAATCTGTGGGTGTGCATGGTAGGGGGAAGGCATTGTTGTGACTCAGGTGGAAAAAGGCAGTGGTGACATCCTGTGCCACCTGAGCTTTTATAACACGATGTGTTTCATGGCTAATGACGAATTTAAATTGTGAAGAGATTTCTAATTTGGAATAAAAATTAGCAGGACATAGACTTCAAAGGAAAAGAAGGCTTCCAAATATTCAAGAAACCCCTGTGATCTATGTGGGTAAACAGTGAGGTGGGGTCAAGGCCCAAAGTGCTTCTTTGGGATACTGACCCAGCTGCTGTTTCACCCTAGTGATGGTGTCAGGCAAGTCACTGGGCAAGTCGCCCCTTGAAGCATGGAATGGATGGCCAGATGGAGGAAAGGCCTGAGGCTCAGGGGTCTTGGAGGCAAACAGGCTGTTGCTGTTAATGTGGTGGTGAGAGTGATGGCTGAAGAAGCAGCCATTCCCTGCACTAATAGAGTGAGAATCTTTCCAGATACTTAGACTAACAGAACCAGACAGTGTTGGTGGTGAGAGAGAGCCCTGAAGATTGCTTTGTCCCTCCTGCCAAGCTCAAGTCAAGGGAGGGTAAGAATTTGCTTGAGGTCAAGAACCTGGTGGACAGCAGGGGATGTGATGTGAGGCCTCTGGAGGCTTTTCCAGACCCTGGTTGGAAGCTCAGTGTTTGTATCCTTAAGTCTGAAGTCTGTCCGATGAGTCAAAAGGATCAAGAAAGCTCCATGTTTCCTCTGTCTTTTGACGGTGATAGTAGGCAAGAATCAAAAGGAAGGAATGTGAACCTGGTGTTGGTGACAGTCTTTGTTGGATACATACCCAGTACACCCCCTCACCGTGCAGTATTTCCTCGCCTGGCAGACCTTCTTCCTGGATAGGTTCCTCTCTGTCTAGAGAAACGGGCAGCCGAGCCCTCAGGCACTCTAGCACACTTGCAAAACTTAGGACATTGTTTTCTTAGGACAGAGGATGACTACACTAATGGCTCCAGGGCTTCCAGGAAGTGGTTACTGCTGGACCACACAGAACAGGAAGCCCAAATCATCCGTTCTGACATATAACTTTTATCTCTCTCAAATCTGTCAACAGCTTCTTGGTATCTTTCCTATTTTTTGCCTTCTTTCTCATCTCCTATTTTATCCCACTGGCCCATGTCATCCTCTCCAATGCTTCTATTATTTCTTCTTAACCTTTTCTTGATCTTATATCTTGATTTCTCCTTATTTTCCCATTGTTTGTTTGCATTTTCCCACAAATTCTCTACCTCCAATCTGTTCCCCTTCCCTTTGTCTCTCCCTCCCTTTTTTCTGTCTCTTAGCCCATCCCTCCAGTGTGCCCACCCACATCAGATGTCATAGAGAAGTTCAGTCATAGAATCACATCAAAAGGGAGTGTCAGAGAAATTAACTGGAGAAATATCAGCGAGCCAGCAGCACTGTCAAGAATAGAGGAGGAAAAAAATAACAAAAAAAATAATTTAAAAAAAATAAAAAAAGGAATAGAGGAGGAGTGTGGCCTGCGTTCACACATGGAGTTGTAGCTTGGAGGGTTAAAGATGAAGAGTGAATTTAGAGAGAAAATAACATTGAGTAGAGCGGGGGAGGCTGAATGTTTAAATGTTTAGATTATAAATTCTTATCTTTCAAAAATGTGAAAACATGAGAATTATAAGAGAGGGAAACATTTTGCATCATCACATTTCTCACATGTGGATAAAGTTTTACCATTTACAATCAGATCTGTGAGCTGCACACAGACACCAAGTTCTCTAGAATTACTAGGGAAGAGCAAGTGTCCTCCGTGTTTCCTCTGAATCCTATAAGAGTTTAGTGAGAGGAATGATCCATTTCACCCAAGAGTTAGGTTACATAGACAGACCAACTATATCTGAACTTGAGAAATAAATAAACTCCGGGGGGAGGGTAAACAGAGCCTAAAGGTAGAATGCATCAAAAAGCAGATCTAGGAAAACCTATGTACTTATCATCTATACCTGGATAGGACTTCTTTAGATGACAATACTCATCATCCCTTAAATTAAGTTCCAAGATGGAAAGAGTTCCGAAAAAAAATTGTTCCAGTGTTTGACACAACAGGACTTTCCGATTTCCAATGTTAGTCTTAAAGTGAGTATGTGGAAAGAGCCTTGAGACCACCTCAAGCTGCTGGCCTCCTCCCTGTGAGAGCCCTCCACAAAGCTGCCTGCACGTCAGGGTTCCTGAGGCTGTAGATGAGTGGGTTCAGCATGGGGTTGATGACAGTGTTGAAGATTCCAACAGCTTTATCCTTATCTGAAAGTTTGATGGAACCAAGTCTCATGTAGTTAAAGATGCCTGAGCCATAAAATATGGCAACCACACTGAGGTGAGAGCCACAGGTGGAAAAGGCTTTCTTCCTGCCCTCAGCAGAGCGGATTCGCAGAACTGCAGCTGCCACGTGGATGTAAGAGGTGACAATGAGTGCCATGGGGGTTCCTGCCATTATGAAACCCACTGCAAAAAGCAGCAGCTCATTGAGCTGGGTGCTGGAGCAGGAGAGCTGGAAGAGCTGTGGAAGGTCGCAGTAGAAGTGGTTGATCACGTTGGGGCCACAGAAGTTGAGTGTGGATATGGCCACAGTGTGGGTCAGTGCATTGCTGAAGGCACAAGCCCACGATGTGGCCACCAAGATCCTCTGGACTGTGTGGTTCATGCGGGTGCTATAGGTGAGGGGCTGGCAGATGGCCAGGAAGCGGTCATAAGCCATGGCTGTCAACAGGAAGCAGTCAACCCCAACCAAGAGATGGAAGAAGAAGAGCTGTGTGAGGCAGGCTCCATATGGAACTATACGCTTGTGGGACAAGAGACGAACCAACATGGAGGGAATGGTGACGCTGATGCACCCCACATCCAGCACAGACAGATTCCCCAGGAAGAAGTACATGGGGGTGTGGAGTTTGGGTTCCACCAGGACAGCGGCCAGGATGCTGAGGTTGCCCCCAACTGTGAGCAGGTAAGCCAAGAGGAAGAGTATGAAGACAACTGGCCACAGCTCTGGTGTCTCCACCAAGCCCAACAGGATGAACTCAGTAACAGTTGTCCCATTGGCTCTAGCCTTTGGCTGCATGAGTTCCTTTAAAGAAACATGCAAGGGGAAGACTCTCAGTGAATTAGGTAAATTTGAATCATAGCGACTGGAAAACATAGAATCAGAATACTTAAAAGAGAAACCCACGTAATCCCTCCCTTTCCTCTCTCCAAATGATGTAATTATATAATAATCTCAAAAATAATAGAAATCATTTGAAAGTGTAACCTGTTGTTGAGGTATCACCCTTAAAGAAGCTGGGGGTGCTTGAGTGTCAATATGTTTGTAATATGTATCAGATCAATTGCCTAATGCGCACACAATTCACAGGCCAAATCCACTCTTCATTCTAAAGAAAAAAAAAAAAAAAAACAGGTTTCGCTGCTGAGGCATAGTAAGGTTTGCTAGAGGAAAACTCTATCCATGGAGAATGAGGACAAAGAAAAGTGTCAACATTATATTTAATTTTTATTAATTAATATATTTATTTTACATCCTAGTTGCTGCCTCCTCCTCTCCTCTTCGTCCCAACCCTCATTCCCCCACCTCTGTCCCCACTCCCCTTTGAAGGGGAGCCCCCCCCCTTCCGTGGGTATCAACCCACCCTGTCATATCAAGCAGGACTAAGCACATCCCCTCCCACTGAGGCCAGACAAGGCAGCCCAGCTATGGGAAAGAGATCCAGAGAGAGGCAACAGACTCAGAGACAGCCTCTGCTGCAATTCTTAGGAGACCCAAACAAAGAACAAGCTGCACATCTGCTACATATTTGGTTGGTGGTTCAGTCTATGTGAGCACCATGGACCCAGGTCTTGAGAAATAGAAAAAATAAAGTTTGTATGTTGGAAAGAAATGGATTGTATGCGAGAAGAGCTGCCAAGACAATAGGAGTTAAGATTTAAGAAGTCCTTGTTTACTTATATGCACCAGTGCACATAGAAAACAGTACTGAAAAATGCACTCACTATCCTTAAGAAACAAAATTCTCATGGTATAATGAGATTGAAACAAGGTGTGTGTGTGTGTGTGTGTGTGTGTGTGTGTGTGTGTGTGTGTGTGTAACACACACAGAGAAAGGGGAGAGGGAAAGAGACTGATTAAAACAAATTTCAATCTTGCCAGTAACTTTTAATAGTGACATTTATTCCCTTGCTTGTTTTTGTTTTCTGCATTGTTTACAGTCGACACAATTTTTAAATGCCATGTAGTGCCTGTGCCTGGAGCTGGTCACGTAAATCTACTGAATCCCACATCAGAGTGAACTAACTGAACAAAAGGGAAACAGAGCTCTCTTTCTCTGCAGCAGCCAATGCCTTTGATGTGGAGTTTTCTTTGGGCATTCTCTGATAACACACAAGATGAGTTACTTGGGAAGCTTGCTCTGGACTAGGCACTACTCTATGGACCGCACATGTAGATAATCAATTTCTTCATCATCACCTTAATTATTGTAATCCATACTTTGTAGGAAGAAAAACATGAACATGCAAAGGCAAGTGACATAGGCAGGGCAGGCTTCAGCCTCCAGAGGCCCTGCTCCTAACTACTGACACTGCCGTTAACCCCAGGGTCTCGAGGACTCAAGGACTTGCCTTTCTTAACTTCTGCCTGGAGCTCTCTGAACCACTCTATGAATCAAAGCTTACCCATAATCCCCATGGTTGGGCTTTTGTGGAATTCAAGGTCTTGCCTTGCAGGAAAAGTAGTTCAAGTTCAAGTGAGCTCCTTAGTGGCTTCAGACCACACCACCCTTTCATCTTGATTTCCTGTATTCTCATCTTTGCTTCTAGCAGCTGCTCTGCATAGAATGCCCTTGCAGTGCCTTATGGCCATGTCTTCATGGCATGGTGCAAATGATGCTACTATGAGGCCTGTGTAACCCCATTTCTGAAAAAGAAACTCTGTCTTAAGGGTAAATGACCTGGGCATGAACTCCCATTTCAAAAAAAGGAGAAAAACCCATAAAAATGTGCTTCGACCACTCACCTCTGGTAATGTTTAACCATCACCCCTAGCAACAGCTAATCAGTGAATACCTGGAGTTTTATTCTTTACAAGAGGTTGAGTAAAACAATTACTGTTTGGCCCTCTGGACACAATCAGTCGTTTTATCACTGATATTTGCTAAATGTCAATCAGTCATAGAACTGCCAAGCTAGAATTCCCAAACCTTGCTATAACCCCAATAAAAACCCTCTCTCCCTGAGCTCTGGGCTCTACACTCAAGAACATGACATCAGTGATGGTGTAGCCCCAAGCTAGAGCTTGTAATAAAGACCCTACTGTGTTTGCATCAGAATCAGCTCCTTAGTGGTCTATGAGGTCTGCGAGACAGGGGCACAACACTATTTTTTGAGCACTGTGCTGACTGGTCTTCAATATTCCTTATGCACTTTGATTATACTTTACATGGTAGTTCCGTTATAGAAATCATTTATTGATTGACCTAGTCACTGCAGTTTAAGTCAAGGGTAAAATCCACATCTTATTTCTCTTTGAGCTCTATATGCGTGGATCCACTGTGTCTGTGCACCACTTCACAAATAAATGAAGGGTTAACAAAAATTGCCAAATGTTTTTTAGGGGGCACTATAAACTTGGAAGAGCTGACTCTGAAAGGGCTTTGAAGGGAGGATGATAAGAGTTGAATGAGAAGCACAGGTTTTTGTGCAGTTGGATTGACTGAGTAGAGCATGTAGTCCTGGTAACCCACATGCTCAAAAAGGCCTTTCAACATGAACTTTACAGACCATTTCTATAGTCAGAACACTTAACACTTTGAAAAAAAGAAAACCCAGTCATACCATGGCACAGAATGGTATCTGATTCTTTGATCTCAACCATCAGGAGACTAAGGGTGTACAATCAGCTACCAGCACCATCCAGGATGTCTGTAGTTGATGGGCTCTTAAGAGGATCATCACTGGTGAGGACCATCTCTGATAATGACCTCACTTGCAGAAGACTTCCCATCTAAAACAAGTCTGTTTTGCTTTTGAGACACTAATCAACATCTCTGTAAATCAGGGAGGTCAGCTCTCTGAGAAACAGCTAAAGTCCCTTTCTGGTGACTTACAGGCCATGAAAACTCACCTGGTGATGGCACAGGGAACAGTCCTGTTTCGTGGGGAAGGATACGAAACACACAAACTCATTCAGCTTCAGTGAAAGCAAAAAAGGGACTATATATGTATATACAAAGAGAGAGAAACAAGACAAAGAAAGGCTGAGGCATCTCTGTCCTGGGGATTTTCTATAATAACATCGCAACTTGGGACTTCAAAATTAGTCCCAAGAAATTGGAGGAGGGTTGGATACAGGCAAGGTCAGGTCAAAAATAGAAGCCCTAGTAAACACTGCCACAATGAGGCAGTGAAGCTTCACATCACAACGGGGATCCAGGATTCTTCCCATGTCTTTGTTCTCATCTTCATGTTGTCTACAGGCACAGCAGAAAGAGGACACAAGCTCAGTTTAACTGACAAGGCCATAAAGGGCTGCTGTCTGCTGTCCCAAAGTCACTCAGGGGATTAGAGGTGGAGCCAGGGCTGAACTGGGTCTTGAGGCTGAGAAAACAGCTCCTTTACATGCCTGCCACAAACAGGATTTGAGGACTGAGAGAGGCTGACTTCTAAGCTAATGGCTGAAGAGAAAAGTTTCTTTGTGTCTGGGGATGAAGGAGAAACCCAAAAAAGGAGACTAATCAGAAGGAGGCCCACCAAACCACACCAAATCCTCAAGAATTAAATGTATTCCCACCTCCAACCTTGTTAGTGAGGGCCAGAGGGACTGTATCTTGGGATTCCTGTAGAGATCCTAAGAGAGGCCATGGATGCACTGTGCTGGGAAAACAGGAAGTTGAGTAAGGCAAAGCTGTTCCTATTGTGGGTTTCAGGCCAGGCCCTTTGAGGCTGGGAGCCTTAGTGATAGCGAGGATGAAAGAGGGAATTGGAGCAGCTGTGCAATACAAACTTCATACTCTTCAGCTCTTTCAGACAACTGATTAGCTGCCTAAACCCCAGAGGTAGTACGTGCTCTGTGGGATGGAGAGACTTGTCCTCCATTTCTTAGCAACTGCTTATCCCCTTTGGGCCTCTGCTTTCCTGTCTGTAAAATGCACATGATTTCCTTTCTTAGGCTTTATGTGAGAATTTAATTCAACAATACCCACAGAGTTCCTCATAGAGGATAACCAATACTTTTGCTGACTTAAAAAATGGATACTATTTACATGTTTGCTGTACTCACATACCAAGAACTGTACATTGTCTTGACTGAATTCCAGTCAGTCCTTCCAATGATTCTGTCATGTGCCTATATCCCTCACATTTTATATATTAATAAACTGAGTTTCAAAGTGACTCAGTGATTTTCTTATAGTCACACAGGAATCAGAGGGCTAGGCGATTAAATGTTCATTTGTACCATTCTAAGGAACTAGTCTCAACACCTACGTATGGGCCTCCCTGTCTATCTCCTTCTATGAGACCCTTCTATTGACCTTCTATTGACCACACAATGGATTTTTAGATCTATTTTTGTATACAGCCCTGTCTTTTCTGTTTATCTTACCCAATATTTATTTTAAGTATTTAATTCATGAGTTCTATATTTACATCATTCCCACTGCAACTTCCTCCTCCTTAAACCCATCCTGTGCCCTCCCATTCCTTCTCAAAATCTTGACCTTTTCTTTTATTTAAAGATTTATTTGTTTATTATTTACACAGCATTCTGCCTGCATGTGTACCTGGACACCAGATCTTACTATAAATGGTTGTGAGCCACCATGTGGTTGCTGGGAATTGAACTCAGGACTTTAAGAAGAGCAGCCAGTGTTTTAACCTCTGAGCCATCTCTCCAGCCCCCATCTTGACCTTTTCTTTAATTATTATTATACGTATATATAAATACAACCAACTGAGTCCATTTAGTGTTCCATATATATGAGTGTTTCTGGCTGACCACTTGGGATTGGATAACCAAATACAGGCTCATCCTAGGAAAGACTGATTTTCTCCGTCCCTTAGCAGCCATTA